CAGGAATGAGAGCCTGGACCAGTTGGTGGGGATTAGCGTTTGATTCTGCTGGGACATTTTGAAGTGCCTTATGAATGCATTGCAGAATATTTTGCCTGGAGGAAGAAAGGAGAAACATTTATCTCCTGGCTTTCATCCCTGTGGCATTTTAAAATATGGCCATAAATTCGTTGACATGCTTCTCCTCAAACAGTGGGGTCTATGTTTTCTTGCCTTGAAGCAGAGAGGGCTTGTGACTGGTTCCATCAATGGAGCATGCCATGTGACCTCTGAAGCTAGGGTGTGAAAAACCATGGGGCTTGAAACTTGATCACTGGGGACACTTGCTCTTGGAGCCCTGAGCCACCATTTAACAAGAGTGACTAGCTTGAGGCTGCCATGCTGTGAGGAAGCCCAAACTACGTGCAGGTGTTCTGGTTGACAGTCCCAAATGAGCATAGCCTTCAAGTCGTCCCAGCCTAAGTGCCAGACATGGGAGTGAGGAAGCCTGTAGATCTGCACTGCCCAATATAGCAACTACTAGCCACATGTGGCTACTGAGCACTTTAAATGGGGCTAATCTAAATTGAGATATTCTGAAAGTATAAACTATACACTGGGTTTCAAAGACTTAGTACCCCCCCAAAATGTAAAAAAATCTCAATAATTTTTTATATCGATTACATGTGGAAATGATAAGGTTTGGGATATATTGGATTAAAGAAAATACATTATGAAAACTATTTCATCTGTTTTACTTTTTTTTTTTTAAGCCATGCCACGTGGCTTGTGGGATCTTAATACCCAAGCCAGGGATTGAACCTGGGCCAAAGCAGTGAAAGTGCCGAGTCCTAACCACTGGACCGCCAGGGAATTCTCCTGTTTTACTTTTTTAATATGGCTATTAAAAAATTTAAAATTCCATATGTGACTTGCATTGTATTTTTATTGGACAACACTGCTCTAGATGGTTCCCCATCCCTTTGAGTCATTTCTTGCTAATTGTGTCTTCCCAAGCATGCCCCAGGCATCATCAGCAGAGATAAGCCATCTGGGCTGTGCCCTGTATGAATTTCTGACCCATAGAATTTGTGAGTAGAATACAATCGTGGTCATTTTATACCACTAAGCTTTGGGTGGTTTGTCGCACAGCAATAGGTGGTGGGGACAACCCTTCACTGGCCAGTGGTGGATCACAAATATTAAATTCCTCACACTTCTGGTTTGCTAATGCATGTGTGTTATATTCTATCATGATTTCCACAGCTCAGGATCAGAGAAGCCCCAGGGCAGGAAGCTATATGGGCCTCGATGAGAGAGAGCCCACACTGTTGGGCCCACGCATAGCCGCCGTCCTTGCCACCATAGCCAAGGGCTTGTTGCACTAGCGCTGTCGTGGCTGAGGGAAGAGGCTGACTGGCTTCCATGGGACAAGTCATTCTATCCACTCGCTGACTTTCTCCTTTGTTGCGGATGTTACCCAGTGACTTCCAAGTCCCTGTAGTCACGAGTCCTTGTCCAGTACCTCCAAGTTGCACGTGCCTGAGTACCGAACAGATTCCTTCAGGTCCTCTATGTCAGCATCAGAGAGTCCCTGATACAGGAAAACAGGGGTATGCATGATGGCAAGGTGAGGTGCTGTCAGATTATACCTATGTGCAGCTGGACAAGGCCTGTGCAGGACTGGTTGCTGTAGTGGTGGCCAGAGTAAGAGATGGCACTGACGGACTAGAAGTGGTGTGTACAGAGGTGTCTGACACAGTACCGAATGCATGTTTGTTCAGCAAAAGAAACAGCGAGGGCGCAAATGTCCAGTTTCACAATATACTGCCGTTTCTTGACCTCCCTGGTATAGAAAACATTTTGTGAGTGGTTTTTGTGCACTTCCTGGGTCTTTTATTGATTTTCCTCTCCTCTACCACCAAGCACCTTTGGTGACATTTAAGAATCACATCAGCGCTATTTGCTGCTTAGCTTGGCATAACCGAGGGAGCAGGCTGTGCATCTCCACATAAGTTGCTCCAGCCTCAGCGGTCTTCCAGAGCTGAGGATAACAACAGCCAATGCTTCTTGAACACTTACTACGCTCCAGGAACTGTGCTTTGGGCGGTTCCTTTGACACGAGGTGTTTGCTACATGAAGCACTTACTATAATTATTTCACAATACTGCTTAGGACACCCGCTAGCTCCTTCCCTTGGAGACACCAGATATCTTGTCATCTCTGCCTGTAAACACCACTCTTGCCACATTCCAGTATCTGGGCTGCACAACACATTTATCTAGCATAAGCTGAGCTGCCCTATCCTATTACAAAGTTAGCATATTTGAGCTAAGATGTCCCCTCGCTGGGGTAGCTCATCTTTTTTCTCAGACCTACACTTAGTCTAAGGGAATTTTCTGCTGTTACTTTCAACTTTCGCCTCACTCCTTTCTCATCATTCCATGTGTTATGTGTCTGCATGCTGGGCAGGTCTTGAAATCTGGATGGCATTCCATGCACAGGTCCCTTTTCAGGAGAGAGGCCTGAAGTTGTGGTTCTTCCCTGCATTGGTTGCTGTTCCTTGAGTTTCCAAGTGAAACCATCCCAGGTGTCTGGCCTCATCTGATGGATGTGTGGTGAGTAAGGAAGGTCCCTTGAGTTCAGGTTGTTGTCCCAAGCAAAGGTAAGGTAGTGATCTAGTTCTCTCTCAGGCCAGGTGCACATCCCACTGGGAAAGGCATTCTGGGGTATGTGATCTTTCAACCCCTTCAGGGCCACAGAAGAGAGGCCTTGGGCCTGGAACACTTCCTTCCCAAGAGATAAAGCGCTGCACAGCTGTGCTGGGTTTATCGCCTTATGTGGGATTATCTTTCTGTGCTCTGGACTCAACGCGTGCTCCTTTGTTTTGCCTAAGCTTGTACGACATAGGGCACCAGGCCAACCCTCCTACCACCTCTTCCCAGTGGGGAGGGAATGGGACCCTTCACTTGTAGCCCAAGAGGGGTTGCAGATCATTCTCCTAAGTTGGCTGCAAGATGGTACCCACTGCCTGTGGGGAGGAACGACACTCACTGTTGAAGCTCATCTTGCTCTGTCTCTTCTCTACGTGAGTAAAGTATTCCATCCAGCGCCTGTGTAAGTTGTGTCCTTTTTGGCAACTCTGGCACAAACCATGCCGTAGGTTGACATCCTGGGACAGCTGCTCCTGGTGGCAGACAACAGTTATCACCTGCCTAACACGTCCAAACTTTCAAAGTGCCAGGACTGGTACTCCTTTAAGACCCAGACAGGAGGGGACTATGCCTGGACCCCATGCTTTGGAGCATTCTTCATATCACAAACACACACTAAATAAATTCGTCAGAGAACACAAAGGAACCTTTGTCTCTTGGGATGTGGTACTCAGGGCTGGCCTGGCATGACCTTCAATACTAAACATCCACTCTTGTGACAAACACAGTTCATGCCTCAAGGGAAAATGCTTTCCCACCTCTCCTGCCCTATGTCTTTGAAAGGCTGT